ATTCAAACGGAACTTGAAAAACTGAATTAAGACTAAGCCGACTTCCCGTCGTTGATAATAATTATTAATTCAACTCGAATCGACTTTTCTATAAAGAACACAACGAACACAATTGTTGAAAGAAATTTGAATTGCGCCAATTCATTTGTGCGGGCAATTTTACCTGCGTAATTCGATGGAATGAATTATTTATGAGATGCCAATGACACGGATCTTTCAATGCGAACAAACTGCAGCTGAAATGGATGAATTGAAGTAGATAAGGGAGCATATTCCTCTTGCAAACATGTTCCTTTTTACGATACATACGTAAAAGACATCAACCACAATTCGAATCGCTAGACTCCTTATGTGCAACCAACGTCTTCATAAGGCCGTGCAAGCAGAATCGTTCATTCAGTACGAATTCTGCAGTTATATAATCGATCTTTTTCACAATTGTTTGAAATTTAACGAATACAGATGAACTTTCAAACGACCTGTCAGCAGACAGAGCAGTGAATGTAATTCATGACGATGAAACCTGTTGGATCAGATGAACTCTGCCCTTGTCCCGTCCCATGTGAAAAAAATGTCCCTCATTCTCAACTCACGTCAACTATTTCCTATATCAGACAGCGAGAATCTTATAAATGAAATAACCTTAGAATTGGCTGTTGTCAGGACTTCAGAGTGGCTCTCTGTGAACCAATACAGACAGACAATTAAATGCGACGACATTTCCGTGAACAACAACACCTTGCATAACTACTTTGGTATAGTATGTTATAACTCCTTATGCCATTACATTCCATCNCATTTCCGTGAACAACAACACCTTGCATAACTACTTTGGTATAGTATGTTATAACTCCTTATGCCATTACATTCCATCGATATTTCCAAGTATCGAACCTCACTTTACTTTATTACCTATTCTATAATTCCTCAGTTCATCATGAACCAAAACGATGAATCACATGAAATGTTCAGTTGAAAATCGCACTGTCAAATGCACACAACGAAAGGTTCAAACAACTTTATTATTCATATATGATAAAACAGTATATTCAATAGATATTTGACAACTTAAAAAAAGAATAAAACGTTCAATACTGAGCTCAGAGTGGCGCAAGTAGGAGACAAATCGAAACGAAGACTAAAAACTGACTACTCACCGCCGTTCCGATCAAATCCACTCATCGAGAACACATGAATGACGCGCGCATCGAAGAAAGGTCGAACAATTTGCCATAAAAAAACAAAAAAAAACAAGGTTGACAAAATTTTCAAGTCGATAATAGTCCATCGCATTCACCCACCACAAGGTCATTCACTTGAAACTGTTGATCTGTTACAAAACAACCGGCGAAAGAAAAAAAAAGAAATTCAATGACATATGCCGAATAAATGTTCAGTTCATGAAGCAAGCGAGCATGTATATTCAAACACCCCGATCGTTATTTGACACTTAGCAAGAGAGCAGCACAACGAACATTTTGCTAATCCAGCATGAGATATTCCCCCTCGAGTGTCCTATCGAACGTAATCTCCAAATCCACCTCAAATGAATTACAGCAGCAAATTTCCATCACCTAACTGAATGAATCTCGATTAAACGAATTGCAAGTGAAATTCACCACAAAATTTCNCAAATTTCCATCACCTAACTGAATGAATCTCGATTAAACGAATTGCAAGTGAAATTCACCACAAAATTTCTGTCATCTATTACTAATATTCCAATGTTGCAACGTTATCATGAATTCACATGAATGAACAAAAGCGGCGTTATTCACACGTTTAAAACACTTGAACATCTCGAACTGCTGCAAGTTGAACTGTCGAGTGCTTGGACTGGATATGGGATGAAAGAGGAGAATATGAATGCATAGCAGTGGGCATTGCAATGTTTAGATGAAAATTGAATGTGGAGAGGATTTAAAATTGATGTGAAGGATGGATTATTGAAGCAGGAAGAGGACAGAAACTGCATATGAAGGACAATCGGTGGTTATTCAACGGATTCGTAGTGCACACGATATTTGTTTGCACTGATCAATTACCACCACCACATAGGGATAGGTCTGTGCGGCACAAGATCACGACACGGTCGCATTCTCCATTTTGGATCTACCTGCAAACAACAGGACAATTATTCTGCAATTGTCGCGACGTTAGGCGAAAGAGACGATTCGTGAGGGACATCAAAGTGATATGTGAAATCAA